ATTTCCACTCATATTTCCTCTCTGGTGAAGGGAAAGATAAAAGTAGTGTCTGTCTGTCTGTCTGTCTGTCTGTCTGTCTGTCTGTCACCACTAGAATAAACTCACTGTCTCAAATGTTTACAAAATAACAAACCGAATGGCAGGGCTATTGCTGAAAAACTAAAAGGTTTGTGGCTTTAATATATATATTCCCTCTCTCTCCTCTTTCCTCACCCCCCTCTCTCCTCTCCTCTCCTCCTTCCCTCTCCTCCCCTCCCCCTCTCCATTCCCCTCTCCTTCCCTCTCCTCCTCCCCTCTCCCCTCACCAGCTCTCGCCAGTGGTCTCCAGGGCCAGAGCACCTCTTCCATCTCGTCAGAGATCAAGTCGGAGGACGAGGGTGATGAGAACCTGCAGGATGCCAGAGCTATGGAGACCAAGAAGGAGGAGCCTGACAACAAGGACCTGAAGTCTATTGATAGGTCAAGATCTAGGTAACCGTGTCGGCAACGCTCGCTTCATTTAAATTCCACTAACAACGGATTTCGATGAAGTGAACAGTGTGATTTGGGGGACAGCTAAATAAACAAACAGAAAAACAACGACAACTAAGAGACTGATAATCCACAAAGTGAAATACACTCAAATATACTCACTTTACATAGCTAACTGTGACATTCTATGGCATGTCTAGACAATAGACTACATGACAGTTATTCAAAGCCATACAATTACACCTGTCAAGGAGTTTCTCAACGATCACATAAACCCATATACTATACAGTATACAGTACACACACACACACACACACACACACACACACACACACACACACACACACACACACACACACACACACACACACACACACACATATGTACACTACACAGGAGGCTGGTGGCACCTTGATTGGGGAGGACGGGCTCGTGGTAAAGCCTGGAGCGGAATCCGTGGAATGGTATCAAATACATCACAGACATGGGTTCGACGATGCCATTCCATTGGCTCCGTCCCAAACATTATTATGAGTCATCCTCCCATCAGCAGCCCCCACTGGTACACATAGATTGCTCCAAATGTAGTCCTTCTAGTGTATCCGAAGCCAGGCAGACTAGTTCTGTCCACGGTCTTGAGCCGTGTTTTAGCTGTTTCTCACACACCCAGAGTAGAATCCCCACTCCCTCATTCCCAAAATGCACTTGGGGTATCCAGCCCATCCCAGGATAAACTCTGTGACATCACAACGTTTATAGACCTTCCACCTGGAATGATCCAATCAGACTAATTCGAACCCAACCCCAGTTATCGTTATGAGACGATTACAATCCATGCTACACATGAATGTTGAAATCCCTGCAGTACTAGATTTGCTTTGGTTTATCTGTAGTTTATAACACTTTGCCGATGAAAATAGATGCACTGAACAATTGAAAATATATGCATTGACCGATTGAAAATAGATGCATTGAACGATTGAAAATAGATGCATTAAATGATTGAAAATAGATGCATTGAACGATTGAACATTTAAACAATTAAAAATAGATGCATTAAATGATTGGAAATAGATGCATTGAACGATTGAAAATAGAGGCATTGAACGATTGAAAATAGATGCATGAACGATTGAACATTTCAACGATTGAAAATAGATGCACTGATTGACTGAAAATAGATGCATTGAACAATTGAAAATAGATGCACTGAAAATTTGAAAATAGATGCATTGAACATTTGAAAATAGATGCATTGAATGATTGAAAATAAATGCATTAAACAATTGAAAATATATGCACTGAACGATTGAAAATAGATGCATTGAACAATTGAAAATAGATGCATTGAAAGATTGAAAATAGATGCATTGAACGATTGAAAATAGATGCATTGAACGATTGAACATTTCAACGATTGAAAATAGATGTACTGAACGACTGAAAATAGATGCATTGAACAATTGAAAATAGATGCATTGAAAAGTTGAAAATAGATGCTTGACCGATTGAAAATAGATGCATTGGACGATTGAAAATAGATGCATTGAACGAATGAAAATTTAAACAATTGAAAATAGATGCACTGAACGATTGAAAATAGATGCATTGAACGATTGAAAATAGATTTATTGAACGATTGAAAATGTAAACAATTTAAAATAGATGCACTGAATGACTGAAAATAGAAGCATTGAACAATTGAAAACGAATGCATTGAAAAGTTGAAAATAGATGCATTAAATGATTGGAAATAGATTTATTGAACAATTGAAAATATAAACGATTGAAAATAGATGCACTGAACGATTGAAAATAGATGCATTGAACATTTCAACAATTGAAAATAGCTGCTCTGAACGATTGAAAATAGATGCATTGAACAATTGAACATTTCAACAATTGAAAATAGCTGCTCTGAACGATTGAAAATAGATGCATTGAACAATTGAACATTTCAACTATTGAAAATATATGCACTGAATGATTGAAAATATATGCATTGAACAATTGAAAATAGATGCATTGAACATTTTAAAATAGATACATTGAACAATTGAAAATAGATATATTGAATGATTGAAAATATATGCATTGAACAATTGAAAATAGATGCATTGAATGATTAAAATAGATGCATTGAACGATTGAAAAGAGATGGATTGAACGATTGAAAATACATAAATTAAACAATTGAAAATAGATGCATTGAACGATTGAAAATATATGCATTGAACATTGAAAATAGAAGTGAAATTAATTGTTTCAGGTTACAACACCATCTACTATATAAACAGTGCCTTCAGAAAGTATTCATACCCCTTGACATTATTCCACATGTTGTTGTATTACAGCCTGAATTCTAAATGGATTAAGTATACTTTTTCCCTCACCCATCTACACACAATACCCCATAATGACAAAGTGAAAACATGTTTTTAGAAATGTTTGCACATTTATTGAAAATGAAATACAGAAATATCTAATTCACATAAGTATTCATACCCCTGAGTCAATACTTTGTGGAAGCACCTTTGGCAGCAATTACAGCTGTGAGTCTTTCTGGGTAAGTCACTAAGAGCTTTCAACACCTGGATTGTGCAACATTAGCCCATTATTATTTTCAAAATTCTTCAAGCTCTGTCAAATCGGTTGTTGATCATTGCTAGACAACCATTTTCAGGTCTTGCCATAGGATGCATGTTTTTGAATATTTGTATTATGTACAGGCTTCCTTCTTTCCACTCTGTCATTAAGGTTAGTATTGTGGAGTAACTACAATGTTGTTGATCCATCCTCCATTTTCTCATATCAAAGCCATTAAACTCTGTAACTGTTTTAAAGTCACCATTGGCCTCATGGTGAAATCCCTGAGCGGTTTCCTTCCTCTCCGGCAACTGAGTTAGGAAGTACGCCTGTATCTTTGTAGTGACTGGGTATATTGATACACCATCCAAAGTGTAATTAATAACTTCACCATGCTCAAAGGGATATTCAACGTCAGCTTTTTTTTTCTTTACCCATCTAGCAATAGGTCCCCTTCTTTGCAAGGCATTGAAAAACCACCCTGGTCTTGTGACTGAATCTGTGTTTGAAATTCACTGCTCGACTAAGGGACCAGATAATTGTATTTTTGTGGTACAGAGATGAGGTAGTCATTCCAAAATCATGTTAAACACTATTATTGCACACAGAGTGAGTTCATTCAACTTATTGTGTTTTGTTTTGTAATTTGTTAAGCAAATGTTTTACTCCTGAACTTATTTAAGCTTGCCATAACAAAGGGGTTGAATAGTTCTTGACTCAAGACATTTCAGCTTTTCATTCTTTATTAATTTGTACAAAATTCTAAAAACATAATTCCACTTTGACATAATGGGGTATTGTGTGTAGCCCAGTGACAAAGAATCTCAATTGAATCCATTTTAAATTCAGGCTGTAACACAACAACAGTGAAAGAAGTCAAGGCGCTGTATCCACAGCACAGGGCGTTGTACAGGTAAATGGATCGGCATCACAACTCCTAGAAACAGAGATTTAGACTGAACCTGGCTTCATCCATTGTGGTGGCATTTCAAAACGGGTTAAGGATGGGTAAGCGTTGGTTTAGCCGTAGCTGGCGCTGACTGGTCCCCTGTCGGTCCCACAGCAACGCGGATGACGAGGACTTGTCTCCGGAGCAGAAGATCGAACGTGAGAAGGAACGCAGGATGGCCAATAACGCCCGGGAGCGGCTGCGCGTCCGTGACATCAACGAGGCCTTCAAGGAGCTGGGCCGCATGGTGCAGCTGCACCTGAAGAGCGACAAGCCACAGACCAAACTGCTCATACTGCATCAGGCCGTGGCCGTCATACTGAGTCTGGAGCAGCAAGTCAGAGGCAAGGGACCTGACACACACACACATAAATATATATATAAATATATATATATAGGGACCTGACACATTTATACACATAAATATATATATATATATATATATATATATAGGGACCTGACACACTTATACACATAAATATATATATATATATATATAGGGACCTGACACACACACATAAATATATATATAAATATATATATATATATAGGGACCTGACACACTTATACACACAAATATATATATATATATATAGGGACCTGACACACTTATACACATAAATATATATATATATATAGGGACCTGACACACTTATACACATAAATATATATATATATATATAGGGACCTGACACACTTATACACATAAATATATATATATATAGGGACCTGACACACACACAGACATATAGAGACAGACACACAATATTTCACTTGCTGCTCCTGGCTCAGTATGTGGCTCAGTGTGTGTGGGTGTGGGTGTGTGTGTGTAGTAGTGGTAGGAGTAGTAGTATTAGTAGTATTAGTAGTAGTAGTAGTAGTAGTAGTAGTAGTAGCATTAGTAGTAGCAGTAGCAGCAGTAGTAGTAGTAGTAGTAGTAGTAGTAGTATTAGTAGTAGTAGTATTAGTAGTAGCATTAGTAGTAGCAGTAGCAGTAGTAGTAGTAGTAGTAGTAGTAGTAGTAGTAGTAGTAGTAGTAGTAGGAGTAGTAGTACTTCATAAATATATTTCTAGTACTAGTACTGTTACTACTACTACACACACACATACACACACACCTACTGAGCCTGGAGCAGCAAATCAGAGGTCAGAGAAAATACACACACATACACACACACACACCAACACACACCAACACACACCAGGGTGCATTATTCTTTAGGCCTGGCTGTGGCTGAATCTTAACTTCCCCTTAAGTCAAATTTTCACTCAGCTTCCTATTGATGTCAATGCATTACTTAGTGAAAATCTTACTCAAGTGGAAGTTAGGATTGGCTCCATAATTTAACAACAGATATAGAGCAATATCTTCTCAGATCCACACGGTGGCGCTGCTTCAGTTCTTAAAACACTTACTTGTGTCTATATGTTTCTGCGTGCGTCTGTGTCTCTAGAGAGGAACCTGAACCCTAAGGCTGCGTGTCTGAAGAGACGTGAGGAGGAAAAAGGTTCGTCGGACGGCGGAGCGGCACTCTCCCTGGCCGGGGCACACCACGCCATGGGGGACGCCTCCAACCCAATGGGACAAATGTAAAACCTCTAAATGGTCAGAAGATATTCACTTTAAACTAATCTGCTGTGAAAAACACGTGTACCATAACTTAACCATTAACCAAAAACAAAGAAAACTAAATTGGGTATACAATGTTTTTAGCATTCTGGCTCCATTTGCTAAGAGTAAAATGCAATAATAAAGGTTTTTAAAAGAGAACACATATTTGTTCTAGTTATCAGTCTTCCACAGTGGCTTGGATTGTGTAAATGGATAGCATCGTCGGTTTGTCTACACTCACTTCCCATATAAATGATATACTTTATAGCAGAATTACAGTACAAACGGGGACAAATTAGGACCATTTCTCCCTTGTACACTTGAGTCCAAATTGATTGAAATTGAACGAGCAGACTTGCATCGTTTTCTGTGGTTGGCATTACTGGTAGCTAACAACGGGGCTTGCTGGCTAACTCCACAAACCCTCAAATCTATTGAAATGAAACGCTGGGTACATTTTGACAACAGATTGGCAGTAAGTGTGCTTTTAGTGTGTGTGCGCTCATTTTGTGTTCCGCTGTGTGTGTGTGTGTGTGTGTGTGTAGTTGACTTGCTTTAGCTTCATCAAATGAAACTCAGTGAAAACCATCTTGTGGTTTTGATTGTGTGTGATGTGATGTATTGTGTTGATTGTTTCACTGTCTATTTGAACGTTGTGCAGAAACTGTGAGGCAGAATCAAGCTCTGACAATAGCATAACCCACATACACTGCAGTCATTTACCAGACGCTCTTATCCAGAGCGACTTAATGTATAGTCAGTGCATTCAACAAAGTCTAGTAGGGGACCTTTCTTCTTGTCCCATCGGTGCAACTCACGTACGGACTCGGGAGAGGCGAAGGTCGAAAGTAACGCGTCCTCCAAAGCCTTGCTTAACCCAGACACACCAATGTGTCGGAGGAAACACCGTCCAGCTGGCGACTGCCACAAGGAGTTGCTGGAGTGCGATGGGACAAGGACATCCCGACCGGGCCAAACCCTCCCCGAATCTGAACGATAACAATTGCGCACCGCCTCATGGGTCTCCCGGTCGCAGCACATCCTGGGATCGAACCCGCGTCTTTAGTGACGCCTTAAGCGCAGCGATGCAGTGCCTTAGACCGGTGCGCCACTCGGGAGGCCGGGACCTTCCTTCTTCACAGGCCTCCTAAGCCAGTTCTGTAAGCAGATGGTGGTAGTTTGTTAGCTAAGCGTTATCATAGAACAAAGGGGGTGGGAGAGAATGTGAAGAATGCTAATTATCTCCAAATGGTAGAGATGTGGCGAGAGGTGCCTTGTAGTGAAGAACCGGAAGTTGGAGGTGGAAGTATGTCCTCCATCAGGTTCAGGTGAACCTGTTCAAATGACATTTGTGTAAAGAGGAGGATCTGAACTCCAGTACACAGGGGCACAAACTAACCATACAGTGGTACACAGGGGCACAAACTAACCATACAGTGGTACACAGGGGCACAAACTAACCATACAGTGGTACACAGGGGCACAAACTAACCATACAGTGGTACACAGGGGCACAAACTAACCATACAGTGGTACACAGGGGCACAAACTAACCATACAGTGGTACACAGGTACAGTATCACAACAGGATCGTTTCTACAGACCATAGAAATAGAATGACCCATGAGTGAACTGTCAAATTGCCATGGTCTGAAGGACTTTCACTTCTAGTCATTCTGTTTCTATGATCTACACAGAGGCCTTTCATAACTTGATCTTAATCTTAGGGTACATAGAAGGACGTTTAGGGTCTAGACCGTCTGTCCTCAACTTTCCCTTTTAGTTTCTTTTCAGTTGTGTGTATGTGTATGTGTATGTGTGTGTGTGTGTGTGTGTGTGTGTGTGTGTGTGTGTGTGTGTGTGTGTGTGTGTGTGTGTGTGTGTGTGTGTGTGTGTGTGTGTGTGTGTGTGTGTGTGTGTGTCTGTGTGTGTTTGTGTGTCTGTGTTTGTGTTGTGTTGTGTCGTGTTTGTTGGCTGGTTTGTCGAGTTAACAGGTGAGTACAGTGTCTCACAGCTCTCTCTAACCCCCTTCTGTCCTCCTCAAGGTCCAAGCTCCCGGAGTTCATCAAGATGATGAGCGACCACTTCCTTTGACAACATTCTCCTATTTCCTGAATCAATCAATCAACCGATCACGTCAATCAAGGATCGATCGATCTGACCACCTGATCTGACCAATATCTTTCCCTGACCACCTGTCTTTTGTCTTCTGTAGAAATGAAACGAACCCAAATGTATATTGGCTATGGAACAACATAACAGATACTACAGTACTACAGTACTACAGTACTACGTACTACAGTACTACAGGACTACAGTACTACAGGACTACAGTACTACAGATACTACAGTACTACAGTACTACATATACTACAGTACTACAGTACTACATATACTACATATACTACAGTACTACAGTTCTACAGTACTGCAGATAATACAGTACTACAGATAATACATATACTGCAGTACTACAGATACTACAGTACTACAGATACTACAGTACTACAGATACTACAGATACTACAGTACTACAGTACTACAGATAATACAGTACTACAGTACTACATATAATACAGATACTACAGTACTACAGATACTACAGTATTACAGTACTACAGTACTACAGATACGACAGTACTACAGTACTACAGCTAATACAGTACTACAGATAATACAGTACTACAGTACTACACATAATACAGATACTACAGTACTACAGATGCTACAGTACTACAGTACTACATATACTACAGTACTACAGTACTACATATACTACAGTACTACAGTTCTACAGTACTGCAGATAATACAGTACTACAGATAATACATATACTGCAGTACTACAGATACTACAGTACTACAGATACTACAGTACTACAGATACTACAGATACTACAGTACTACAGTACTACAGTACTACAGTACTACATATAATACAGATACTACAGTACTACAGATACTACAGTATTACAGTACTACAGTACTACAGTACTACAGCTAATACAGTACTACAGATAATACAGTACTACAGTACTACACATAATACAGATACTACAGTACTACAGATGCTACAGTACTACAGTGCTACAGTGCTACAGTACTACAGTACTAAAGATACTACATATACTACAGTACTACAGTACTACAGATACTACAGTACTACAATTACTACAGTACTACAGATACTACAGTACTACAGATACTACAGTACTACAGATACTACAGATACTACAGTACTACAGATACTACAGTACAATACATTTGTTGTTCTTCTTTCTTTCTGTTATTCTATATCTTAAAGAAGAAAAAAAATGGGGGGGAAATAGAACAATTGATGCAACTACTCGATGTTGGGGGACTATTTCAAACATATCATTATGTTGTTTAACAATGTTTAACAATGTTGCAGACTGAGCTGTTAGTGAACACAGCCCTCTCAACTGAATGGCAATCTTCTCCACACTGTGGAAACTCTTGCAGTAGTGCCTGAAATCCTCATTGACATTTCAAGTTAGATAGATATATATGAAAACTCAATCAGTCGGTCTAGAGGGGAGGGGGTATTAAAATAATATGAAAAGTAGACATTATGTAGAATTTCAAGAAATTGTAAAAACATGCAATAATGACAAAAAAAGTGTACTTCTAATCTAAAACTTAATTTTAAGATAACACTTTGTTTTTGGGCTCTAAGTTGGCTAGAATTGGCGGTATACTAGAGAGGATATAGGCAAAACATCTTATACTTGTAGCCACTCGAAACCAGCAAACGTCCGGATTCAAATTTGAAATGTGTTTTCATTGGCCATTCCTTTGCGTGGGCGGAGCAGATGAGCAAATGGACCCTTTTGATTGGAGGGCAGGCCGTTGGTAGTGTTACTGTTGGTTACTCCATGTTACAAGGCAGATGAAGGAAGGATGGAGGGAATGTCTCCTTGCTGTGTCTGTCACACAGAGAGATCCAGACCAGGTCAGAACAGAACAAAGTCTCTCCCAGTTGATGAGACCCAGGTCAAAAGGTCAAGGTCTCTCCCAGTGATGATGACACTTCCTGGTTGGTGATATCACTTCCCGGTTGGTGATGACGCTGCATTGGAAAGGCACAGCCAGAGGGGGAGGTATATCCCAGAGGCCGAGCAGTCCGTCATCTTGTATGATTTGTCTGGTTTATAAACCCCGGTCTAGCACTTCACCCCCCCCCCCCCCCTCTGTCCCCCTCCCCAGTTCTCCCTTCCTGCCCACTTAACGCCCCAACCCCAGACCCTGCAAGGCCCCAGAGATGCACATTTAACATTCACTTCTACCAATGTGCCTTTTAGAGTTCATATCATTCAAATGCGATGAGGAGGAGACGGACGTTATCTGAACTTTGTAGGATTCAAGCTTAGGGAACCGTTAGTTATTAGGTCTATGCATTCAGGTTTTTTCCGACCTGGGAATTAAAAAAAATAAAAAATGTCAAAATAAAAAAAAGTATTTTTTGGATAAACTGTATTTAATTGTACTGTATGCTTATATGTAATTAGAAGGCGTGTCCCTGAACGGACCTTGTTTTAGTCAGTTGAACCCCCTGGCGGCCCCAGCACCCCGAGTTTCAGACCCCTTCCTGTATTATTACAAGTTGCAGCCTGTTTCCATAGTGAACTACACGTCTGTTATTGAGCGTTGTATTATAGCTATCAGCTTTTTATCAATATCGGCTTTTCCGTGAGCCACTGTAGTCTTCAGTAGTGTGTGATTGTATATGTAAAACAGAATTTTCCCTCATTTTTTAATCTTTCTCTTATTCTTATTCTTTGTCTGTTCTGGTTTCTCTGTCGATGAAAAAAAGTACTAAACCACAATTTGCTGTCGTATAGAGATTCGTCAGCAGCTGTTTTTAAATGTGGTTTACGTTATCCAATCAACACAAGGCACTGAAACTGGAAAATAGTCTATTTGAAAATCAATATCTATAAATGTAAAAATATATAC